AATGCGCTCCGTCGAGAGACCAAAATCTGAAGGGTATTCTTGACACCAGGAAACGCGTGCAACAAGGAAGTTTCGACGCTTGGAATATTAATCCTCTATCGCAAACAGAAGTTACTTCGACATTTAAACCCTAGTCAGAGTTGCAACGGTTTCAGGTTATATTTCGGCGTTTCTGTTTGGTTTAACATGATTCCTTTCAACTGATTTTTGCGATAAACCATAATGAAGAGACACTAATACGCAGTTCAAATCACAGTTAGTACATACATACATACATACTTTATTGCAACTCCCTAAAAGGGTTTTTCAGTTACAAGGCTACTAATCAACTAAAATAGCTAAATAAATTACAAAATAACTGAGATAATAAATATGCGTTAAAAAATAATTGAAATACAATGGATCATTCACTATTTACAAATTCATAGATTGATCAGAGAAAAGTAGGTTGACAATTTTTTCCTAAAAACTTTGGCAGAATCTGAAGATTTAACATTGTCTCTTAGATTATTCCAGAGCTCAGCACCACTGTAGGTGAAGGACCGCTGACCGGTTGTTAGGCGGCACCTTGGAATGTTCAGTTGATCGCGTTGTCTAGTATTACTAGGGACTTTAAGATCCAACGACGCGACGACAACGAGAGCGTCGCTTAAAAAGTGAATTTCCGTTCCTTCATTCTTAATAGCAATTATTCCTACCCACTTACTTTGTCTAATGTAGGCGAACCCTCCTGAAGCTGAATTTCAAGGGTCCATATCCAAGCTCAGAAAGAGAAATAAAGTTTCGTCGTTGCTTGTTTACGTCCTCTATAAAACGCAAAGTTAGGCATTTTCACGTCGTAGTCGTGCAAAAACAGGAAAGAAATGTACAAAAAAGCGTGATGCACGTGCAAAGTTGTTGTTTTGCTTATTACACCAATTTTTTTTTTGACGTTTTCGTTGCCGTCCGCGTCGTTGGATCTTAAAGTCCCTATTAGTGTGAATTTGTGAACGCAGAGTAAATTTCTCGAATAGGTAATTAGGCACAAGTTTTTTGATACATTTGTACATCATCACTGCATCATTCAAGTAAATTCTGTCATTAACAGGCAGCCAATTTAGCGATTTGATAGCTTGTGAGATGTGATCAAACTTTTTGAGGCCAAGATCAACACGGGCGGCAATATTCTGCACTAACTGAAGATTGTTGATGTTATGTTTACTAGTATTTGACCAAACAGTTGAACAATAATATAACTTACTAAGAACGAAAGAGCTCATAAGGAGAAGTACTGTTTTCTTATCTAGAGATAGTCTGTGGGGAGGAGCGTTGCGTGACGACACTAAAAACGGCTGTGTAGCAGACTATAGTAGAGGGGAATATTGTCGAGATACTCGCTTACTATAGTTTTAGTCGTATTGAAACCCTTAAAATCACAAAAGTTATTTACTTACCTGAACTTAAATGCTAGACGGGGTCACAGTACCGCAAATTAAATTCTGCACCACGGCAGAATCAACGTTAAGTTTGTATATGTTTTCAATCTGTCAACACGAGGGAAGATGACATTCTGGAACTGCGTGACGCGTAACGCGCCGGAAAGAACTTCCTGGTATAAGTGTTTTACGGTGCAAGTCTTCCGTCATTTCTTCAAATCTTACAGATACCGACGTCATCGTTGACGGCATGTCTCGGTTTGAATTACAGAGTGAAACCAAAGACGATCATCAACAATCAAGGAAATTGAGGAAATGTCTCTCTCGTGGCCGTTGTAGGAAGCCGAAAAGGGTTTTATTTTAAGTCACTTAACCTGAAAAAGCTTGTTCTACTAAAAAAGCTTAAATAATCGTGGCAATATAATACAGTTACAGAAAGAAACAGCTTACCTTCCTCCATCGTGCACGCTCCTGCGGGAAACTATAGTAAAAATTTTCGCTGTGGCTATATGGTCGGTAACCGGTCAAGGTGTTAAAAACACTAAATGACCGGCAGTCCCATATTCAGGGGCACCCAACGACAATTTTCGGAAAAATATCTGTTCGGAAGACGATTTGAGATCTAGAATTTTCGGAACATTTGTTGTAAAATTTCTTGCTTGCCTGCCTCTCCTAGGATTTTCGAACATCTTAAAAATGGTATAATTGCATATTTTTAACGGATTTTTACCCTAAAAAGGTCACCTAGAATTTTCGGGAGCCCTTTTTCTGGCTGGAATTTTTGAAAAGGCAAGTTTTGATCCCTATAATTTTCGGATCCTGATCAAACCAGCCGGTTTTTTGCGATTTCTATATTGGCCGTTTTTATTCTAAGGACGCATTATCCGTCTGGACGAACTTGAGCAAACATTGTAGTTTGTCTGGGTTATGCGTCTCAAGTATAAAGACGGGTACGAGACGCATTATGCGTCCAGACAAACTACCTTTCGTGGTGCGTCATCCAAGACGTATTTCGAAGGAAAGTTCGTCCAGACGCATAATGCGTCTTGTGCCCGTCTTTATACTTGAGACGCATAACCAGATGAACTACAAATGTTTGCCCAAGTTCGTCCAGACGGGTAATGCGTCCTCTAGTTTAAAAACGGCCATTACCGTATTTCCTCGAATAAACGCCGCGGCGTTTATTAA